AAAATTTCCGATATTTCAGTTTTTTGAAAAATCTGTAGTAGGTGACATGATAACATCATTAATATGGATATCTACACCGACTGTCCCAGCGGTCTTGGTATTTGGTACAAACTGATTATTTGGTATTAAAAAATTCCGTATAGCCCCATATTATTTATTTTTGTTGCTATAGTTGCTATCATTATTATCACTTATATTATTATTGTTATCATTATTGTTATTACTATTATTCTTTCCAGCATTATTTAAAAGGAATACTCTCTAAAAACATTATCATAATCTCATCCCTTAGCTGTAAACACAAACATCAATAACCACTAGACAATACGCATTCTGGCATTTTATAGGAGCAAAAAAAACACATAAAAAGGGCCCAGTACACAAAGCTGAAAAGCCTCACAAATCCATGTATCCGCAATTCCGCCGGAACGGCTTCGGCCACAGCAATCGCAGAAAGTTGTCAGCTGCACTGATGTTTGTCGAAGAAGGAGCGCGTCGAGTTCCAGTATATTCGAGAGACTTGCAGGAATCCTCGGAGAAGCTTCTTGTACGACGAAACCGGAAAGAATCGGCGAACAGGATGAGCAGAGCGAAAAGCGAAGAAGCAGGCGAAATCGGCAAGACCGGCTTGAAGGAGACAACCGATTGAGAATGATAAACTGAAGCTTTCCCGTACTTTTATACAATTTCTTTATGCAAATTTCACGTTAGTTGTATATAAATTCATATTTTTTGCCCACATGCGGATTTGCATATTTAGAGTGCCTCACCCTTAGTCTATCCCGTATATAAATACTTTGAAATAATAATTATTCGTAAAAAGTCATCAGTGTTTAGTCGGTTTCAAATGTGAAACCATTTATGATAATGAGATAATGATGTTACTACTGCTGCTGCTATCAGTGCTACTGCTGCTGCTACTGCTGCTGCTGCTGCTACTGCTACTGCTACTGCTGCTATTGATATTGCTGTTATCGTTATTGCCTGTGCTGTCGTTGTTGCTGCTTTTTACAAAAATTTGTTCAAATTTGCATCAGTTGTACAAATTCGCATGCACAAATGATGACTGTTTGTGAAAACTGACCAACGACTGGTCGCATTACAAGTTTGGATCCAGCGTGGTAATGGTGATACTGCTGCTGCCATTGTAATGCGTTTTTTGCAGCAATGCAATGCGAACTCAGGCTGGAACGCACCAGGCGAGCCGGTGCGATCATGCGTTTTTGCATCAAACTTTGAGGT